GTCCACAGACATGCGACCTCCCGACGTTTTCAGGACGGCGCCCCTGGAAGTGCATGACCCTTTCCCTGGGGCCGGCTTCTCCTCCTCCGGGACGCTCTTGCACGGCCCCGAGGCCCGGCGAGGGCCTCTGGAGGCCCCAAACTGGCGAAAAACCTCCGTCCGGAGTTTTTGTCGACGCGATCCTGTCTGGGTCGGATCTCTGAAGGGGCCCCAGGACACACAAATAAATACACACAAATAAAAGTATCCCCCATATTTTCCCATATTTTCTAGGTTTTTGTCTTCCCCCCCACTTCCCATATTTTCCCATATTTTCTGGGAATCGCAAATTAGTTGTGTCTGTGTGTTTCTTTCCCTCCTGAATCTCAGGGGGATCGCGGGCTGGCTGGCGGAGGCGGCCGGCGGCGGCCGGCGGCGCCGCCGTCGAGAGGCGGGCCTCGTCCGCTTCCCCGCCCCGGCGCGGCGCCGCGGTGGCGGCCGGGCGGGGCGCGCCGCGAGAAGAGGGGAGGGGACGCGCGGAGCGGGAGCCCAGAAGGGGGGGAAAGGATGAGGATGACGATTGGGATGGGGAAGGATGAGGATGAGGGGAAGGATGGGATGAGGGGAAGGAGCCCCGAAGAGGGAGAGGGGAAGGATGAGGATGAGGATTGGGATGGGGATGGGGATTGGGGTGGGGATGGGGATGGGGACGAGGACGAGAAGGGAGATGAGGCTGGGGATGGAGATGAGGCTGATAGTGGGGATGAGGCTGGGGATGGGGATGAGGCTGATAGTGGAGATGAGGCTGGGGATGGAGATTCGGATGATGATGGGGATGAGGATGATGATGGGGATGATGATGGGGATGATGATGACGACGATGATGATGACGATGATGATGATGATGAGAATGATAATAAGGATGATGATGATGATGAGGAGGAGGAAGAGGATGATGATGGGGATGAGGATGAGGATGACGATGATGATGATGATGATGATGATGATGATGATGATGATTCTTATGCTGATGATGGGGATGAGGATGATGATGACGACGACGATGATGATGATAATGATGATTATAAGGCTGCTGCTGCTGATGCTGATGACACTGACGATGATGATGATGATGATGATGATGATGATGGTGGTGATGATGATGATGATGATGGTGGTGGTGGTGATGATGTTGATGGTGGTGATGGTGATAGTGATGATGGTGGTGATGATGATGATTCTGATGCTGATGATGCTGCTGCTGACGATGATGACGGTGATACTGATGATGCTGGTGGTGGGACACAACAGTTGCTCATGGTGATGGCGATGGTGATAAATACGAGTTGACTTAAGCTGAATGTGAATATGGAGTTTCATGCGAATGCAGCGATGAATAATGATAAGATGAGGATCGCACGCATGATTATGAAGATGGACATGCTTATGATGATGGTAATGGGGGTGAGGAAGACAGAGACAGAGAGAACAAAAGAAAAGGGAGAAATGAGGGGGGGGGAGAAAGAGAGAGAGAGAGAGAGAGAGAAAGAAAGAAAGAAATAAAGAAAGAAAGAAAGAAAGAAAGAAAGAACGAGAGAGAGAGAGAGAGAGAACAAACCAACAAAACGTCGGATGGGGATGGCTTTGAGGATTTGATGGTTCAGGGAGGGCGAGATACACCCATCAACCACACGTCGCCCCGAGCAGAGCTGACACCATGCCTGGCAAAACGCCCAATCGATGCAGATATCACGTCGCCCGCCCGACTGGAGAGGCGAATGCCCAGTCGGAAACGTGCGGGGTGGGCGAGGAAGAGAACCAGGAAGAGCGGGGGAATTCGGGGGGAGAAGGAGGGAAGAGGAGGAGGAGGAGGAGGAAGAGGAGGAGGAGGAGGAGGAGAAGCGGAGGAGGAAAAGAAAGAGAGGAGGGGGAAGCGAAAAGGAGGAGGAGGACGAGGAGGACGAGGAGGAGAAAGAGGAAAAGGAGGATGAGGAAGAGGAGGAGGAGAAGGAGGAGGAGGAGGAGAAGGAGGAGGAGGAGTAGGAGGAGGAGGAGGAGGAGGAGGAGGGATGGCAACGACGACGGCGAGGCGAGGAAATGCAGCAACGAGACCGCGTTTGCTCACACACAGCTCTAAACGGAAGTTCTAAACTTATCCCTGGACATCAGCTGCATCGAATGGCTTACGGGTCTTGGGGCGCTTACCAGCCTCAAGCCGGGACAGGACCCACCTTCTGCTAGGAGGCACGTCATTGGGGTCAGGGCAGGGGGCCGAAGAGGCCCTGCCCACCCTGGCGGACCCGTAGGCCCCGCGCCGCCGACGCCGAACGACCGGACCCGTGACGGTAACGTCGTGGCCCCCAGGCGCCAGACACCTCGGCTGGGCCACGACTGGCCCCCGAAAGCCAGAAGGGCCCCCCCAACAAGAGCCCCGCTTCCGCCCTCGCCGGCAAGACCGTCCAGGCCCCCCCCCCAAGAAGGCCCAGCTTGGGCCGACCCGGACGTAGCGCCACGCGCGGAGCCAGACCCAGACGAGCCGGGAACCCCCCCTTCGCCCCCAAGGGCAGGCACAGCCTCCTCCTCCTCCTCCTCCTCCTCCTCCTCCTCCTCCTCCTCCTCCTCCTCCTCCTCCTCCTCCTCCTCCTCCTCCTCCTTCTAACAAGGCCCAGCCGAGCACCAAGGCGCAGCCGACCCCAGCCCAGCGGCGGCAGCAGGAACCAAACCCGACGAGGCCCCAACAGAGCTCCCACCAGGCCCCGCCGCCCGAGGCGCGGAAGGCCCCTTGGCGGAAGGGCTGGCGGCAGCCGCAAGAATCTGGGCCTGCAACTGCGCAGCCACTGACGCGCGACATCGTCTGTCCGTCCCTCATTCAAATGGCCGCCTCGGCTCGGACGCGGTGGCAGACCTGCGACACCGTCGTCGACGGTGTCGACCGTCGTCGTCGACGGCGTCGACGGTCCGTCGACAGAACAGACGACCAGGCGACGCGACAAGATCGTGCACATGCAACGGGAGGCCTATCTGATTCAGATGCCCAACAGGAAGCCTGGTCGGAGCAGTCGTGAGCACCGCTGTTTTCCGGACCACTGCTCAAGCATGCAACAGCGCTGGACCGCCCAGGCCTATTTGGCATACAGGCGAGCACCAGCCAAGGAGCCCTTATAGAACCTAGCGTGTCCTTTTGGACGCTTCATAAAAAGAGCCCCGAACTTGGCGAAACAGTCAGCCCACATATTCCCCACAAGCCACTCGCACGGAAGAGGAGGAAGAGGAGCCTCCGAAGCAGGGAAGAGGGCCGCATCATCAGTCATGTGGGCAGGGCACCAAGCAAACTCGGGCGGCTCTCGACCTGGGGCCACCGAAGGTGCCGCCACGCCGCCGGACACGCAGCACTGGCG